GAGCATATAAATTGCGAAGATAGAGATGGGGAAACATCCCGAAGGGCAATTCCCTGTTGCCATCCTAGTGTAGTCCGACACTCTCAAATTTCCACCGGATGCACCATGACAATCATAAATGGCTACTTAGGCAAAAAAAAAAAAGAACAATGGCCTTAAAAAGCATGCCCAAAAATTTAGAATAAGAAAAATAGACTCAGGAAGCCAAAATGATGAAAATTTAAATCCGAACACACTACACCAATAAAAATCAAATTAAAACTAATCGTGACTAAAACATAAAACTTCATAAACTAAAAGTTATAATTAAAAATGAAAAAGTTTACCGGTAACAAAGTACGGACATATTTTGCTAGTTTTGTATTTTATTCTGATACTGACATAAACACACCACTTACAATCCTACATGTATATATGTGCTATCAGTCTATCACACGCTTACAAATAAACCAACGAAAACGTTAGAACTTCCTAAGGCTTCATTTGGGAGGCGGGCCAGATAAACCCAGGGTCCGGTAGCCCCGCACGGGGATTTTGGTGGACCTTCGTTTTCCAGGGAGGATTTCCCCGTCCCCTCCCACATCATTTGGAAGCAGCCAACCAGGGGACAGATTAGCCAAGGGTGACTCCATGTCTGCTTATTTGAACGTTTGTAATCTATAAGCATGCCTGCATCCTTGGCTAATTGCTTTCCTGTAATTTTTTTTAACATAACAATGGAAGAGATAATAGAGGAGCAAGGAAAACAAATGCACAAATTTTAAAAATAGATATAAAAAAATCGAGAAAAAATCAATAAAATTTTTGAGAAAAAATAATACGACGAAAAAACTTATTGCAACAAACTTATTTCAACCAAAAAAAATGAAAAAAAAACAATACCATGATAAATTGATAAACATAATGACAAGAATATCCATACATTTAAGTTCGGCAGTTTTATTGTATCAAAAAATTAGAGCAACTGGAATAATAACACATGTAGAACCAAATTATCCAAAGGCAGTTTAGCAAAATTCATTGCCATCATGGAAAAGAAGATTTATATCAAAGGAAGATGTCATTAGAAACTTTTGATCTTCACAAGCTTTCCTGGCCATGTACTACTGCCCTACAAGTACCCTGACCAATAAAAAAGTGACAGCAACATGTGCTAAGCTTCTACACCTAATTATCTATATGTTAACAAATGTTGCCTTGCCATGTACCTTCTCTTTTTTTCTGAATACAAATGAGGCTATATGATAATCTGAAATATACAGGATCGAAATGAAGAAGTAGCTATCTATTTGTCCACCCCAAGCATCTAACTGACACCAAACTTTTATTCATCTTTGAGCTAGTTCTTCTGGTTTCCCCCTGTCCATAGAAAGCACATTTTGAGCATAGTTAGTAGCAGCAATCAAGAAATTCCTTACTACAGTTATACTATTGCGATCAGCTTAGATTGCATAGTTTCCAGGTAGAGTACCTTGCAAGTAACAAAAGAATTGAACCTGTCAAGGAGTATGTACCAGCAGTTCACTGCTTCTTCCTACTGTGCCAGCCCTTGACTATTGCATATTACAGAAACACTAGCAATGAGTTCAACACAATGGAAAAAAAATCCTATATTTACAAATTCCAGCAACTGCGTAATCATGAAAACAAGGTAACATTGTTTGCTGGATCCTATTAATTGATGAGCATGTGTCACTGCAGTTTCATAACATCAATGAAATGCAACAAGACATAATTGCACTGCAAGTACACTGCAGTTTCATTACAGATTAAATCTTGCATCTTTCACTGGCTACACTGAAACAGGAAATATAGACAGTAGTGTACTCAAACATGGGTTTTCGTGGCCTTCTAGCTTCTAGGATTTCTTTGACCTTTGTGGCACCAGGAAGAGATGACGTGTGTTCTGGCATATTTTCATCACAGAGACATGACATGACAGCAGGGACACTAATAAAGAAATGTTCATCGTCCGCTTCTTCCTCATCTAACATGAGCTGCCTAACATCCTCCTCCCAAGAATCCATTATCTATTATATAGGGATAATATTATTAACTAGGATATAATATAACTAAAAACTTCATCAAGTAGAATATTCTACTATAGATTTGCCAAACATAAAATGAATAACATAGCAGAATGTACTACTATATAGGCAGCTAGCAGCCTTTTAAGGCCCACATTAATCAGTGCAAAAATTATAACGAATGTGCCAAACATAAAAGAGTTCTCTGAACTGCAATACATAAAAGAAGAGTTCTATGAACTGCCAAACATAAAAGAAGAGTTCTCTGAACTGCAATACAATTTTCAAATAGACTGAAACGAGATTTGCAAGCACTTATTACTCAGTCAACTCCTAGAAGATGCATGGTTCAGGATCGAGGCTGATCTTACTCCGGTTAATTAAATGGGGCAAATATGTAAGGTCTTGGCTAGGTTAGTCCAACTCAGTAAGTATAGTTAGTAATCAGGATTTAAAGTTCGATGTGCCCTCAAACTACTGTACGTGAAGCTTGTGTGAGTATATGACCAAATGATTACCTTGAGCACTACTCAAAGTAAGTTATCTTATTTAGCAACTAACCATATATAAAAACTATGTAAAAGTAGGACGGATTACATAAGCTGCATAGGATGTGCATGCCTGCCATACAAAAAGCAAATTCAGATGGATCTGGCATCTACTACGTACTCCTAGTAGGATTATATTTTGGGCAACTAAAGAATGTCACAATTTGGGCAACTAAATAATGTCACTCAACTGTTTTCCTTTGTGCAACATCAAAATACAAACACAATCCTAAACAGTACATTTTTTTTAGACACTCAAGACCGAGTAAACAATCAAATCACAGCAGCATAACCCTCTCTTCATGATGAACAATCAAATCACACGATCCTGCATCAACCCTTTCACAAACAGCATTCAGCACATAACAGATCAGCAAGCAGCCGTCGAGCTTGTTGACGCTGTAGCTGAAGTTTACCTCGGCGAGGATGGCCTAGAACTTGAGCTGACATCAAACCAAAAAAACTTCAGAATCAGCAGATCCAGGAGATAAAGGAGATGGGCGCCATAATCTTCTACAACACCTCGAGGACCTCTTACCCGCGCCCGTCTCATCACCGTACGAATCAGACCTAGGAGAGGAACTTGGACGGGTTCTTGGAGCTAACCTGGAGTAGATCTTGAAGCTCGGACGGAGGTGGTGGCGGTCGCGAGGCCGGCGACGGAGATGAGGAAGAAGCCGGCGAGGGGGCGAGGACGGCGGCGGCGGTGCGGGGCGAGGACGGCGGCAGCAGTGGGGGGCGAGGACGGCGACGGTGGTGGCGGGAGGATGGGCGAGGACGGCGACGTCGTGGTGGAAGAGACGGATGGCGTGGCGGACGAGCCGCCCGGGGAAAGCCCGCTCGTCGCCTCGTCCCGGTGATGGGCTACCGGGAAAAAAATTGGGGGGCGACGGAGAGACGCCGGACCCTGCCGGATGGTTGCCACGGAACTAGCCTGCCCAGGTTACTCCAAATCTGCATGCAGCCATCCAAACCAGCGAGGTGGGCCCTGTCCAGGGTGATGGGTCGTTCACTGAGGTGCCATGCGATCGCCCTGGGTCCACATGGCAACCAAATGGGCGCATCGGTGCTCCGTCGTCCACCCAATTTTTTTCCGGGAAAAGGCGGGGAATCCCTGTGGATTGGGTCTTCCAAATGAAGCCTAAGAGAAGAAAACTCCCAACAGTTGGTGCTCTCTCGATTGTGATCCATTACCTACACTAGTACTTTAGCAATTCGTAGAACCCAACGTTCAGCACAAACTACCCGCCGCTAATCACATCAATTAGTTGGCTTATATATGTATCAGAGGACTGATATATTTATACATGCAAGTTTGCTATACAGGTTTGCTGGTTACCAAGTTTTTGAAACCAACTTGTTTGGCATTCACCAATATTTGGGGGGGGGGGGGGGGGGGGAGAGAGAGAGGGGGGTGACTGATATTTATACATACAGGTTTGCTGGTTACCAAGTTTTTAAAACCAACTTGTTTGTCATTCACCGATATTTGACATTGAACCACTATCCAACTATTCCTACTTGTTATGTCAGAGTGGAGGTTTCATGTCTCTATTTTCAAAACTCTTAGGTGCTGAAAACAGTGCAAGCAACTTTCATCCCTATGGCTCCCTCTCCGGCGCCCCTCCTCCTATTCGGCGATGGCCACCTTCTTCGTCGCGCCAGCGGCTCCCACTCCAGTGCCCCTCCTCCTCTCCGGCGACCCTCACCCCTACCGTTGCCTGCTCCCGCTGCCACGGGCACACTGGGGCTTCGCCGGAGCTCCGATAAAGCCCTAGCGTGCCCGCGGCAAGTGCCTTCTCCCGCACCCCTCCCGCCGGAGCTCCCTCGCCCCGACCTGGCCCGGCCGCCTCCACCGCCGCCAAAGCCTCTAACGTCCTCCAACCATCCCCACCATCTGGCCTCCCTTCCTCCCCAAACCTTCTCTTCTAAGCCCGCTGGAGTTGGGGGAGATGAGAGGGAGAGCTTGTCGGAACCCTAACTCGTCAGACCCAGGAAGAGGAGGAGTAGTAGGAGAAAGCCGCCTACCTCGCCACCGCCGCCGGAGGGGGTAGAGGAAGAAGCCACGTGGGGAGAAGGTGCCGCATGGGGCGCGAGGTGGAACAAGGTACCGCGCATGGGGAGAGGCGTGTTGGCCGTGTGCCTGCGCTGCATCAAAAAAGTGGCCGGGTGTGTTAAAGTCATTACCTTGTAAGAAAGAAAATGATCTGCGTGCATTTTTTTTTCCTGTCCCTGTCGGCCTCTGCCCCTATCTATCTAGGACGTGGAGTATATATAGGTGTGCGCATGTGTGTGTTTTCCGGCCAGCTACTCCATTTCCGAGCCTGAATGCCTGGTAAAGCTTTAGGCGCGAAGCACCAAAGGGCCCGTTTGGTACACAGCTCTGCTTCACTGGTACTGGTAGTATATACTCCGTGTCTGGGATATGGCAGGTAGCAACAGCAGTCTGCTGGTCGCATTCCGCATCGTTCTCTTCTGCGCCCTCGCCTCCGCTGCCACCACCTTGATCCCTCTCGTCACAAGGCCATGCGCTTACTCCCTGCCAAGAACCATCCTCGCCGCCACCGGCCTCGACCCTCACCTCATCTCCTGCGCCGACGACCGCTCCAAGTCCAATGCCGAGCTGTCGGAAGGCGACGGAGGCAACAAGCCCGGCACTGGCGGCAGGCCCATAGTCACCGACCTGCTGTCGTGCGGCGAGCCCGACCTCCCAACCCACGCACTCCCGCCGTTCCGCTGCTGTCCGCCGGCGCCGGCGTCCGACGCTCCCGCCACCAACTTCACGTTCCCCGACGCAGGCGAGCCGCTCCGGACGCGGCGGCCGGCGCACGGGGCCACCGGCGGCACGGACGACAGCGTCGCGCGGTACGCGCGCGCGGTGGCGCTGATGAAGGCGCTGCCGGAGTCGGACCCGCGCAGCTTCTACCAGCAGGCCAACATCCACTGCGCCTACTGCGCCGCCGCGTACCGGCAGGCGGGGCGGCCGGAGCTGCCCGTGCAGATCCACTACTCGTGGCTCTTCTTCCCGTTCCACCGCGCCTACCTCTACTTCTTCGAGCGCGTCGCGGCGAGGCTCCTGGGCGACCCCGGCTTCGCCGTGCCGTTCTGGAGCTGGGACGTGCCCGAGGGGATGCGGGTGCCGCCGGAGTTCGCCGACGTGTCGTCCCCGCTGTACGACCCCATGAGGAACCCGGAGCACGCGCCGCCGAGAGTCGTGGACCTCGACTTCTCGTACGTGGAGAAGAATTGCACCGACGAGCAGCAAATCCAGCTCAACCTCCGGATCATGTATAAACAGGTTGATTAATAATAAGCTTGTTTATTGCTTCATCATCTTGGTCACGTTTCGGCAGTTCCTAACACGTGGCGTACGTAACATGATCCAGATGGTCACGAACGCGCCGCTGCCGTCGCTCTTCCACGGGCAGCCCTACCGCGCTGGCGACCGGGGGATGCCGGGTGCAGGAACGGTGGAGCTGAGCCCGCACAACATAATCCACCGATGGTCCGGCGACCTCTCGCGGGCCAACCACGAGAACATGGGCGCCTACTACTCCTCCGCCCGGGACCCCATCTTCTACCCTCATCACGCCAACTCCGACCGCCTCTGGGAGGTCTGGCGCGGCGTCGGCGGCGGCCACGCGGACTTCACGGACCCCGACTGGCTCGACTCGTCGTTCCTGTTCTACGACGAGGACGCCCGGCTCGTGCGAGTCACCGTCCGCGACATGCTCGACGTCGGGAGGCTCCGGTACACGTACGCCGAGGTCGGCCTGCCGTGGCTCAGCGCGCGGCCGCCCATCGTCACCCCTGACGACGGCGTGAACCGCGGAAGAGGCCTGCCGCACCTGAAGTCCAAGTCCGTCCGCTTCCCGGTGTCGCTCGATGCCGCGGTGACCGCGGAGGTGAGCCGTCGGCGGCCGGGAAAGCCACGAGGGCAGTGGGAGGAGGTGCTGGTGGTCGAGGGCATCGAGGCGGACGGCGCGGGCTTCGTCAAGTTCGACGTGTACGTGAACGCAGTGGATTACGAGGAGGTCGGCCCCGGCGGTCGGGAGATGGCTGGAAGCTTCGTGTCCCTGAAGCACCCCGGCAAGATGGTGGTGCAGACCAGCATGAGGGTGGCGCTGAACGAGCTCCTGCAGGACCTGGGTGCCGAGGGCGACGACAGCGTCACGGTGACGCTGGTGCCCGTGGAGGGGAGGGTCAGGATCGGAGGCCTGAGGATAGTGTACATGGCGGAGTGAGGTTACAGTACAACACGCACGAGGTGCACGCGTTACGTTGACGGCATTTTGAATTGTTCCGCTGAATAATGAAGTCCGGAAAACTCCAAAACTGTCAATTTATCACTCACCTGGGCAAGATCTCGTCAGTTCACATAGTAGATTAAATGACCCTCTGAAGGTCAAAAAAAATATTATTTTTCCCAAATAAGGATTGAGTAGCAGCTTTGTGTGAAACCAGCAATATCAAAGATTTACAGGAACCTTGCGGCCAACAAAATGGGGAAAGTGATCAAAAATAACTGGAACAAACAAAACGTTACAGTTACATACATACTTCCCTCCACAAACACTACAGCTGAAACACCAAGTGCATCAGGTCAGGCGACACGATGTCAGCTTGGAAGTCACTTTTGGATTTCGGAGGCGCCCAGAATTGAATTGCGCTTATAGATGCATCTTACTGGTGCATATTGCACTTACAGATGAATCCCATATGCTTATTCACCTTGCAAGCAGTATAGCTGGCGGATATTCCCTGAAGCTGAAACAAGATTAAAAAACTGTTAAACAATCACTCAAGCACTTCGCTCAAATTAAAATGAACATGCATTTGCATTGGGCAAGATTCCAATGGTGTGGAAAGTGAAATGAGAGGTGGCATTTGGTTCATGGGCAACGGTGTGGGAAAGGGAAATGAGACGGGCGGACATCATAGTTTGCTGGAATGGGAGCACCACATGTTTCCCGTCGATAATCCGTTGGAAGGTTAGGGTTACGACCGGGATACGAACTATGACCTGGATACGGTTCCTTATCAACCTCAGCCCACAGCATCAACAAGGCAGACTGCGCTGGCACCGTTGCCTCCACAGTTTGGGCGCTGCTCTTTCACCTCCATCCACGCAAGATGCACCCAGTACACCCCTCCACTGCGCTGTCTTCAAGGAGAGCGCCAGTCCCAGTCCGCCTGCCCAGCCATGCCCACGCAGCTTGCTGATGCCTTGTGGAGCTCAAGCAGAAGCAGCTCGTGGATGATGGATAAGTCTTCGTGGGGCTGCTGCAGGTGGTTATCAAGGACAACATCCTTGACTGAAGGACAGCATCTAGGACAGCATCTAGGACTAGCATCTTAGACTCTAGGACAGCATCTTAGGACAACATCTTAGAGGACAGCATATTAGCATCTTAGACTAGCATTTTAGACTAGCATCTTGGCATATACTTGGCTGGCTAGAAGCCTATAAATATGCATCCCCAACCCCTCAGGTTGGCATGGCATTGAGAAATAAACCAGAATTCTGCTACTACCAAGAGTGAGAATTCAGCGACTAACAGTGGACGCCTCGCTGAGCTTGAGTAGAAGCAGCTCACAGACACCTTGCCAGCCACTGCGAGGAGGATGCCAAGAAACGTGCCAAAGCAACCACCTACCACGCCAACATGAGCTCAAACAATAGCTGCAGCCAGCAGCGCAAAGAGCCGCTGGATCTTGGTTCCCCGCGGAGCTGCCCACCCGTGCCAGGGATAAGACAAGACAGGTGGTGCAGGCTCGGTGGGTGCCTGGGTGGATAATGATGTGCCTGGGTGGAAGCAACAAGATGGTTGGTGTTGGGGGAAGGCTAAGGCCTAGAACAACAGTTGGCGACGATCTTCTTAGGCAGACGGAATCCTCTCTTCTCCATTTTTATTTCTTTGATTTGACTTAATCCCAAACAAAACCTAGTGCATGCAAACAAGGAAATGGTCTAGAAACTTCTATCCCTATCCCAAACCCACCAAATTATAACCACTTCATATCCCTATCGCAAATCCACACATCATCCAAACGTTACCCTAGCCCCTAGAGTCGTCACTACTAATCACTGGGTTCACCTTACAACTTCTGAAGTAGGCAATGAAAGATCATATGACCAGCTTAAGTAAATGACCAATCTCAACACTTGAATCAATGTTTAGTATTTGAATGTATAGTTCAGAGATGATCAAATAACAGCCAAGGCAAAACCATCTTGAAGAATCTCCCTAGAGTATCCCTGACCATGTTTCAAAACTCCAGAGCTCAAGATGTACGGAATCCCGACAAGGTTACTCGTAGTAATGACCACACAATTTGCAAGCAAGCAACAACACAAGATTGGAAAAAGAAATCTAGCATGAGTCAACTTGAGCTAAGGTTACATGGTGGACTAACTAAAGAAAAACAGCAAAACAGAGACACAAAAGCCATGTAGACACCAACCTATCATCACAGTTGTATCAGAACATGTAACTTACCATATAACCAATCTTTGAATTGAGCATGAAGGGCACATGCCAATTCTTTCTTCCGGTTATCATCAATCTCCAGTTCCCGGATATTCTTTTGAATATCTTCCAGAGAAGCACGCTGAAAATGTAAAATAGGTTAGATTCAGAAAGATGCGCAAATACTTTATTCTGCATAACATGCTCAATAATAGGCTACTAAAAGGTACTAGACAATAAAATATAATCAAACTGCTGGCAACAACATTGGGGCCATCAAATCCAATGATCCAACACTGCACCTTATAACCTTATAGGTCACACTTATGCTAGGAATTATATATTTATTTTATTTCAAAGCATAAAAGGGCGTACCCAGTGCAGAGAGCTCCCGCTCTGTGCGGGGTCTGGGGAAGGGTATTAAATAAAACCAAACAAGTGGAATATTTTTTTATGAAAATCCATGTATTAAAGTAAACTTAAACTAAATAGCTAGCATCTTTCAAGCTATCCTCATCTCAGAACACCATGGAATTTTCATTCTATGAACGTTGTAGATATATAAATAGCATGTGCTTATCTTAATTGAATTCCCCAATCTCGTAAAATTACGTCAAGGTAGCTGCTCTAATATAATGTTGCGAAAATCCCCCTCCCAAGAATAAGCACCTCTGACCTAAACAACTACTATTAGAAAGCTATATACAAATGTTTGCTCTCACTTGACATATATACCTTTTTCCTTTGGGATGCCCAATAAACTTCAGGCAAGGTAAACGGATTGTATTTGGTAGGTCCTTCTACTTCAAACCAACTAGGAATCTGCATAGAGAATTAGCTGACTGTCATTGCACACTAAAGTCACTCAAAATGCATCAGATGTAATTTTTACAGAACCACAACACAACATATTACCACCCATATGGGTCAGGAAAATATTTGGAAACTAAAACTTTGTCAATTGATTGATTAATCAGTAACAACATAGTACACTAAAATATGAATCTAGGTTCCTACTCCAGCTGCTATGGACATTGGACAATAATACTGCAAAAAACTGAGTAACCTTATTAGTGCAGATGCATCACATGCAACATGTTGTCAAAGCAAGAGATCTGTTCGTCATAAAACGCTTAATTTTTTACTGCATTTGAGATTTTTCAAGTCTAGCGCAAGATAACACAATAATGTAGGGAACATATAGCTCACATACCAAAAAGTTCGTAAATAGATCAGGATCTAGACAAGTGGCAGACTCAGCCTGGACATCAGAAACCCCAGCAGGATGGGATAACGAATCATGCGGATCAACAACTCCCAGCACAAAAGGTTGGTCCCACTTGTTGACATTAGGATCCACACCAACTTGTGCCAAATGCTCTCCGAGTCGTGGATAATAAGTATTAAATGGGGCAACCTGTTAAAATACAAAATAAAATACTCAAGCTGTTGAAAATTAAAGTACATGCATTGCCATGTTTCAAACCAGAGATTCTTGAAATCAAAATTAATAAATAAAATCACAAACTTAGGTTTGTCATGTTTGGCCGGATGTACCAGAGACATCGGCGTCATGACAGACCAGAACCGGAGGCCGAAGAGAACACGTCCACCAGTTCAAGTGGCTAGACAGTTTATTTAGGATTGTTGAGAGTTTCTTGGAATCATAGTAGCTTTGTTTATGAGAGTTTTAGTTAGTTAAGATAGCGGAGATGGAGACTACATATGGAGTTTATAATCAAATGAGCTATGCAATCAAGAAGTTAAACCCAATTTCCTCTCATCCGGAGCCTTCACCTTCAGTTCATAGACGCTGGCACCACGGCGCCCAACTTCAAGCGCTCGGTTACTCGTCCCCTCGATATGTAAAACCTACGTCCACGCTACTATTCATCCCCAGGGCATGACCAGGTTCAACATATTATTTCTGTATATCTGAACCCTGCAGCTTTTTACCTTCCAACTGTCCACAGTGTTCTTTATCCTTTATACCAAGGTGAATATTGATACATTATGGATTACCATATACTGATACACATCTGATGAGGGGAAAAAGGCACAGATGGAAGAGTAAAACTCACTTGTAATTTATGGTTGTCCCCCACAATAAGTGGTTGGTGATTTACTCCCAAATAGAAGATGCATTCACGACAATTGGCAATACAAATTCGTTTTGAAGCTGCAATAATTTGTACACGTTCACAATGCTCCACTTTAACAACCTGATAACATAGAACATTTTTTGGCTCAACACAAGATAAGGTGACAGATACTTAAATCTAGAAGGTGAAAACTATAGAATTGGATTCTTATTGAAAAGGTGTGCATTGGAATATAAAGTCATCCTGGAATCCCATAGTCTTACGTAGTAAAATTATATGAAACATACCTTACCAATAGCACCAAGAATAATGGTAGTGTCAGAACATCCGTAGACGGTTGCGTACTTAAGTGGGGCTAAAATGTAAATGACAGAATCATGGCAGTTCAAAACCTACAAAAACATTATTTCAGTGTCATTTATCACTGCCAGTTGCAGGATGGAAATTCCAGTCTTGAAGGTACAACATGGAAATACAAAAGGCATAGGACAAGCATCTTCAGTCTGTCTTCAGTTTCTGTTGTCCACAAAAAAACAAACACACACATACCTTTATTGAATGCCCTTTCAGATCCGATGCTTGTTTGACAACTGAAGTTTTAGAGCAACCCTCCACAAATGATGCATTTCGGTAGTATCCGGGATAGTTTGGTGCAGAAGTGCCAGTTGGTGAGCTGCTATGGATTCTTGTATTCGTGACAGCATCAGACATTGTGACATCAGGATCAAACACATTATGTTGGCTGTTTTCTTTTGCCGCAGACTTCTCTGTCATAAATTCTAATGCTGAAGCTATATGCTGCAAGATCCAATCATGTACCAGAGCAGCAGGTACAGGAGCAGCAGGCATGTCTGGATCTGAATTCGCAAAAAAGGTAGCTGCTTCACTTAAAGGAGTTCCTTCAGAGAGCTGCAACAAAAATCCAAGGTGCTCAAAAGTCTCCATTGTCAATACCTGCATATAAAGCAATACTTAGCGCTGTGAATCTGCAGTTCAGAGTAAGCATATCTACCGCAATACATTCATGGTATTTTTCTTCAAAGAAGAAACATTACAGCAGAATTGTGGATGTGTTCTGCATTAGTAATTAATCAATCATCCAAAACTACTCACCAAAATCTTTGTTAAGTATTTCATATATTTTTAGAAGATTAGCAATCTATATTGTGCAATCTGTGAACGAAATTTCTAGGCAATATATAAAATTTATTAATTATTACATTCTTCAGGTAACAAAATGTGGTCATGTGAGGTCGCATCATGATCAACAGCCTACAGGAGTATCATACCCGGTTCATCCTTATTCATCTAGATCACAAAAAAGAGATCCTCGCTATCTCATTATATCATTTTTACCTCACTAGTAGCAATCACTACCAAGCTGGAGATAGTTTCCACCGTTTTTAGCTCACTCATAAGCATAAAGGACAAAAATTTGCAAAGTAGAATATTTGGGTAGTTCACGATGCATATCAATCGAATTGCCTGAAAAAATGTGAAAAAAAGCTATATGGTGTTCATAAGTATGATCTACTACAGAAACAGTTGACAGTTTCTGGTGCTGCAGTGTCATGTTTGATATCCAAAATGACAATCAAGGGCTTCAGTTTTGAATACTTTCAGGTGTGACAATGACAGCCTAGCATTGTTCTCTACAAACTGCATACACCTTTGCCTCCATTGATGTTAATCAACTTAAAGAAACAAACATGTATACAAGAATACGCAAAGCCAAAAACTAACCATAGAATCATCTCCCCCTCCATCAACAGAATCTGCTAAAAGTGTTAGAATGTTGGCCATATGCTTTTGTAAATACGATAGTTGATGAGCTTCTTCATCTGCTTGTGAAGGCATAAAACGACGACTATTGCTGCGTACAAACTGCAAAATGACATAAACATATGTCTAAGAGTTGACAAATAAGTAAAAGTTATGTGTCTCAACTCTCCATACTGGCAACAGAATAGATCTTGCTACTTGCAAGAATGGCAATAACAAAAAAGAATGAGGGTGTAGTAGCAATCATGAAAAAGAGGATAGTACAACACTGCCATGTTTGAATAGCTCACATTTCATGAAAGTTCTTTGGTATTTGTATCGGAGAAACCAGTAGTACAGTACAGGATAGCATTTGGAAGGAAAATAAAAACTATAGGCGGTATAGCCTTTCTGAAAACAGACACTCAGTTAGAAATAGAAAAACTGTGCATCAATGGTGTCAGGCAACCGTATTTTGCAGTGCAGTATTTTGCATTACTCAAGCCTTGTAAACAACCTTCTGAATTAGTCAGTAAATAAATAAGACTTGTTATAGTCTTAAAGCAGTGGAACAAAAATGTTGTTTGTAGATTGTAAACAAGGTGGGGAAATTTCTTAATTTTACAGCTTTCTGGGGGGCTAATGCAATAAGCATCAATTTTTGTGGCATATCTGACCTTACAGTCTTACAGCATTTTTAGAAAAAACTAAGATAGCCATTAAGTTGCAATGGAGAAAGAGCACGTTTAGATATGCACAGTTCCAATTAGCCCGCAGCATTGGGAATCACATATTGAGAAAACTTTCGATATTTTACAAGTTCTACCCCATGTGTCAATAAAAAGCACTCGAACAATCAAAATTTTAACCATTTATCAAATCATCAAATGCCGCATTTCCTACAAACCCTAACAGTCATAAACTTTTATAGTCGGTAAAATGTACCAAAGTTACCGTAAAAATATTCACAAAAATGCATCTTCTTATACATTCCTATAACCAAAATAATTGGTAAGGATTTCATCAAAAGTAATGGTACAGAACTGGGAACAATGTAAAGCCTTCTCATGTTCTCATAATGAAGCAATCACCTGACACCTTTATTGATTGCTTGAAATGTACTTCAAAGTTCAAACTGAAACCAGACATTAAGCATCATTTCCTGACACTATAGATTTTTGGCCATTTCAGGAATATATAATCACAATATTATTGTTTCTTATTCTTATATATATGTCATATCCGAGATCCATAATATGTATATATTGGAAGAAGCATACAATTTCGCACCAAAATCAATTTTTTTTTAGAAACCACCAAAATCAATCTTAAGGAATCACTCTGTCGCACTCCAATCTAGCACATATACTAAACACAAGTCCGTAATTGACGCGGGCCACAGGCCATTCTACAGGGGGCTATCGAACTAGCACCCGGGAGGATGCGATCAGGGCCTGACCTGGATCGGCGATAGCGCGGAGAGGTATCCATCGAAGGCGGAGGTGGACGGCCAAACATCCGCGACGGCGGGCGAGTCCTTGTGCGCGCGCGGCACGAGGCGCTTGTAGGACTGGATGTAGAGGAAAAGCAGCAGGTCGCGGAGGTCGGCATTCCCCGCGCCGTCCTCGCCGAGCTCCGGATCCTCCGCGGGTAGCACCGCAGCGAGCGTCCCGAGCGCCAGCGCCGCCTGCTCGGCGGGGATCTGCAGCGCCTCAGCGAGCGCTGCGGCGCCCACCCGCGGTCCCCCCGGCGCGAGCCTCTCCTTCAGCTGGGATAGGGTTTGCGTCAGCGTGCCCTCCGGGAAGACCAGCTTGGGGATCGGCAGGAGCCCGTACTCAAATGGCTCCCTCCGGGGCCGGAGCGCTGGGGCGGGGGCGGAGGAGACTCCGCCGGCAGCAGCGGCGGCGGCGGACGCCGACGAGGACGAGTCCAGGGGATCGTCGGCCATTGAGGGTAACTGACTCACTGGGCCAGAGAAGGAGGGAGGAGGCAGAGACAAACAGAGATCTCGGTTTCCCTATTTTCAGGCCCAGTTTAGATCCAAAACTTTTTGATCTCGGTTTACTGTAGCATTTCGTTTGTATTTAGTAATTAATGTCTAATTATGAATTAATTAGGTTTAAAAGTTTTGTCTCGTGATTTCTTATCCAACTGTGTAATTAGTTTTTTTTTCGTCTACATTTAGTACTCCTTGCATGTGCCGCAAGATTCGATGTGACGGGTACTGCGTAAAAAAATTTGGAATCTAAACAGGCCCTCACTAGTTTTAGCCCTTTTGGGTTAAAAAAATCCCCTTTCGAACACACAAAAATTATAGAAATTGCAAGAGCTCACACACAAATTTTGCCTAAGATGGAACCATTTAAGTTACAACACAAATTGTTCAACTACTTTAAGTTCTCCGTCCAAAGAACTACAACGGGAACTAGTTATACGAGAGTTTAAAAGATACATCGCGTGGACCATGTTGTTAAGAGAAACAATTAGTTAGTGAATAAATTAAATTCTCAATTCAGAAATTAAATGAAAATAGAATGTATCGATCAACTCTTAGCCGAGATGACAATTGATAATTTTATAGTCTATTTGGAACACAGAAATTTCATAGGATTCCTGCATCAATTTCACATAAATCAGTTCGATTTCAAAAGAAAAATGCAAGGGCACGAAAATCTTTGTGCATTCCAAATAGACTCTTCGGTAGCTAATCTTTACCAACCAAGCGAATGAGGAATTTGAGGAACGAATTAACAATTTGTAAGGCAAGAGGACTACAAACAAATTACCCATGACAGAGTTTGAGATGGGGGGTTGGAGTTGAGAGACCAATTATCTTTTTCTTGGGTGCAATGGTAGTGACTTTAAGGTGATGTTTGGTCTAGGACTATGTTTTCAAAAGAAATGTTTGGTCTAGGACTGGCAACGTCAACGGCAATGCAATTAATTTCCATCGCTAATAGTTCCAATGCAATGGATAATTGAAAAGTCACATGCATAAAAAAAAGATTGGCAAATTATTCTATAATCAAGTTATGTCATGTCTAAAGTTTGAAAAATTAAAAAAAATTCTATCACATCTTCCACATGTAATAATCAGATCCATAATTTTATATCTAAAACTTTCCTATTTTACAAAATTTTAAAATATATATATATATACACACACACTTCATTATCACAGAAAAGTACTCTCTCCGTTCCAAATTATAATTCGTTTGAGTTTTTTTTTACCCCAAGTTTAACTGCTCATCTTATTCAAAAAATTTGGACAAACATAGTTAAATTTAAGTCATTTTTGAAGAACTTTTGTTAATAAAGCAAGCCACAATAAAAGAAGTGATATTCAGCAGTTTTTTTTAATAAGACAAGTGGTCAAATTTGAGGTAAAAAAATCAAACGAACTATAATTTAGAATGAATTTAGTAATAGATTCTAACCGTCTGATCCAACTAAATAAATGGCTCATAGTTATTTAGAGATAGCACAGCTGAGTTTTTTTTTATGTTATATAGTTGATTTTTTTGGATAAAAGGACACTCAAAAGAGCGTCACACAATTCATATATCACAAGAAAAACAAAGACCAATATAAAAGATGGACAACAAGACATAAAACGATATTCTCTAAAAAACAGTACATTGATGACCGAATTAGTCTTCTTCTTCCTTTGGTCGTCCACTGCTTGTCAGAGCTTGAAGATCACACCGAAGAGAAAGCGGAGAAAATGGACACTCGCAAACACCATCGCCAAATAAGGCTTTAAAGACCGCCATAGTCACTCGTCGCTGGTGATGAGATCTAGTACTTAGTGAAAAGACATCAGCCGGATGAACCCTCAAAGAAATGCAAGCTTACAATCATTCACCATCGTAATAGAGTTTTGAAGATCCTAGATAGAGCAGACCAAACCAAGAGATTGAGATTGCTACAATGAAAACGAACCAACCTGAAGACGATCAAGATCTCGTCGCTAGATCAAACGTCGTCGAAGTCGAGGGAGGCTAGAGAGAGTGATTTTGCTAGGTTGCGTTAGAAAAAATTACGCTGATTCCTATGACGGACTTGCAGCCTGTTCGCTTGCTTGTATACGATCGTGAATTATAAGCTAGAATAGTATTTTTCTCTCACACCAAACCAGACAGCAGTAAATAATATACGATCGTTTACGGCCTGTCGAACGGGCTGCTGGTCGTGCCCTTCCCGGGCCGCGCTGGTCTCTACAGGCCCAGGGCCAAACCCTACGCATCGCCGGTCCACGCGCGGCAAGACGGGACAACAGCACGTGCCCGAGCCCGACCGCGGTCCACGGCCCGGTTACTCCGCGCACGCCCGGCCTCGTCGCGAGCGCACGCCGGTTCTCCAGATTTCAAAGAGGGAAGTGTAACGGGCAAATCCACCCACGCGAATATATACAGCGGGCCCCACACTGTCGCCACGGTATGGACCATCGAGTGCTCTCTCGGCTGGACCCTCTCGCCTCTCGTGGCCGTCGTGGGGGGTGTGGGGTCATGGAACTTTTGCGCCAAGCCCCTCCGTACTACGCCTAATTCGTTACCCGCGCGGTGCATGGCTTTTGGCCCTGTTTCCTTCGTTTTGCTTTTGCTACGGCATGGCAGTTGGCCGGACACGCCCCTTCTTCTTCTTGTCGGTGGATTTTTTGGCGTGTTTCTGGCGTTCATTTAGGCGGTTGTGATGTTACATAGGAGTAGCATGCTCAAGTGGTTGCAACTGGTACGTGTTGAATCATAAATTTGGCAACCATGTACCGAAACAACGCATTACACACACGTCACGACCAGGACTGAAAAACGGTATAGCGAAAGACTGTAGTCGCTTTCACCATTAAAACCTCTTTGTATATGACATGCTCCAATTTAGAACGTCGACACCAAATCCATCCAAACGAATCTATGTGGCAATGTCGTATGCGGTGTGAAATGTGCGGCGTGGTGGAATATTAGGATATATTGGCGTGGTGGAATATTAGGATATATTGAGCTTATTCAGTACTACTTTTTAGCCATAAAACCGTGTTTTTCTCTCACAACATTTCAGCATAAAGCGAACAGGGTGACTTTTTCTTTTAAAATGCTACGATTTCTCTCTCCCCCCTTTTTTGGTAGTATGCATGAAGAAGAATGAATTTTTTTTTTGGGTTTACAGGTCTCGGCACTTGAAGAAAAACACTTGATTTTTTTTCTTGAACTTGAGTGTGGAATATTATGATTATTATTACTAGTTATGTGTAGTTCATCCACATATAATGTGTTTTCAACTTCTATAAAATACCCTTCATCAAAATGAAAAATGTAAATCTCACTTTTTGATGTAAATCAACCTCAAACATAAGTAGTTTTCTAGATTCATGACTTGTTGCTCCATAAGATAGGACAACTTGCGTCAAGTAATGATACCAAGTCCGATTTTTATGCATATTGGATTCTGTTGCAACACACAGACACATTTGCTAATTATAAGATATATTTTGTAATTAATCTAGTGATATTGGTTATGTATAAATTTTTTTTTTGTTTTTTACTTAAATCTAGAATCGATCGCTTTCTTAAAAAGTTGAGGATTTTTTTTGGACTAAGGGGTACTTGAATCTCGTAACATCTTGCTAAATACTACTAAAACACTAAGGGTTGGGTTACCTCTTAATACGAGTAGAAGGATATATATTTTAAATAAAAGAGAACTTAGGTAATGTTTAGCGTGGTTCCAATTTTGGCTTCTTTGCTATAGTCCATGATGAAACTTAATTCAAGTGAAAAAACAATAACTTTGCCGGCTTCTAATTAACCTTTTCTTTTCAAAAAAAAATAAAAATAACATCTCACTACAAGTCTACAATGCACAAAAAGCAACCGCCCGGAGCTCTGCAAACAACCGTTCTATAACACGAAAGAGGACCCGTTTGGTAGGGCTCCGACTCCTCCAAAACAGCTATAGCTCTAGCTTTTTCGAAGAGTGAATTTTCTAAAAAAAGTTAAAGCCATTTGTGAAACGTTTGGCAACACAACTTCTCCTAGTGGTAGAAAACTGAGAAATGTCTACAATACCCTTCTTTCTTTTTTCCCATTTTTTCTTTTTTCTATTTTCTTTCTCTCTATTTTTTTCTCTTATCTGCAGTTTTCTCCACCGCGTAGGATTCCTTCTCCCTGTCCCTGCACCCTGTAGTCCGCAGGCAACATGCGCACGGCTTCTGTCTCTTCCTTGAGTCCTCTTCCTTCATCTTATCCGCTCGTTCTCTTGGTCCGCTCGTGACGCGAAGGCTCGGTGCTGACGGAAGACCGGCGGCCGCACGCGACCGCGCCCCGGCGGCCGAGCACCGTCGTGGCTGCGCGCCCCTGCGGTCGAGCACTGTCGCGGCCGCGCGCCCCTGGGCCCGCCGGCCATGGCGCTTTAGTTGCATGTAGTTGCACTGTCGCGGTCGAGCGCCCTCGCGGTCGAGCGACTATGCATATAGTTGCATGTATATTAGGGTAGTGATATGCTATTAGAGCCATGATCAAAACGAAAAATAGATGTCCCAATTATATTTGTTGCATTTGACTAGTCAGAATTCAATTAAGATGGATATGTATCTACAATGCATTCTTGCACACATCCATGAAGAATCCATTTTTCAATTATTTGACACTCAAGGTGATCCACATCAAAGACTACATTTGTGCATTTGGTACCCCAAGTTTCATAATAATCACTCTAATGAACTTCATTGTTAAAAGTACTCTAGTTTTAGTTAAAAAAATCCTCGTTTATGTGTTTCAACTTTGCAATGTAATGTAACCAAATGCTCAGCTCGTATTCTATTTTCTTTGCTGTTTTTTTTGTCAAGTTTAACGCTCCATTTCACTATTTAAAAAGGACATACCCAACAATATTTTTAGTAAACAAAAAGAAATATACGAAACTTTATTTTTGTGAGCCAAAGGATAGCACTCAATATTCGTACGAAAGGCCATACAATATATTTATCTTGAAGCAGCGACAATGTTAACTTCATAGCAATGAAACATTAAACCACAACCAAACTTGTGACATGTTGTTCGTCACCAATCTGAACATGTTTTAATACAAAAGATCTCTCGAACTTAATTGTTTAACAAAAGCCATGAGAAATTCGTTCTTCCCATCAACCAATTCTAGTTTGTCCCTAACTAGTTAATGATACTCTTCTTCCCCTTTTTATTTGTTGCCTTTACCGCTGCCTGGGTGCCATACTTGCAATGCAGACGTTGCTTACATGACCTTCCTCCTCACAATTCTCACATATCATGGGAGATGTTGTGTACCTCTTCCTGGTCTTACGTCTCCTTTCGAACAATGGCTTGTACCTTTTTTCTCTTTTACGCCCAGATTCTTTTGGAGCAAATGGTGCTTTTATTTGGCTTAGATCGACATCACTCATGTATGCGCTGGACCCAGAAGCACCATATACATTTCTTACAACTGGCTGTGCATCTAAGTCGTATCCACTTTGATATGTGTTGTCATCTTCATTACCAGATCTTGCACTATACCCAGCTGTAGTGTTTCCGTCTGAGGTACAGAGTTGCTTGCATGTTTCATTTTCGAGTTCTTCAATTTCTTTCCTAGCCATATTCAAGTGCCTTGTTAGAATATCTCCAGCCTTAGGAACTTTTTCTGTGGACTCTACATCTAGAGCGTTAGCAAAAAGCAAGCTCTGACCAAGCTGTTGTCCCACTGATGAGCATACTTCATTCGGATATTCATAGTGGCTGTTTGGTTCTTTAGTCGCTCCTAAAATTCATGTCATATCGAATGTTTAGATACTAATAAGGAGCATTATGTAACACCTCGGGTGTTAGCCTTGCATAACTTGACTTGCATAACATGAGCATGATCATCACGCATTCATAAACAAGCATTTACAATTGAAACATTTGATTAAAACATCTGCAACATTTGCTTGTTATCACATGTTTCATTATCATATGCAACCTTTCTCGTTATTTCATGTCTCCATGTGTATATGCAAATGATCATGAATGAAAACATGTACTTGGTGGTTGTGAGTCACAAAAACATGTAACCACACTTGGGTTAGCAATTAGAGCATTGTTCATGAAAGTCACTTTTCATAATCAAGCCTTTAAGTCATGTTTCATGTGATTACTTTAAATGGCCCTATGAGTGACTACTACATGAAATGATTGAATGACCTTGCAAATTGCTTAAACATGCTTAGGATATCATCATGAACAACTTTGGTATTTAGGGCTAGGGCTAGTTTGGTCATTAAGCCATGCTTTGATGTGTATCATCATTTAAAAGTGACATGTTTGACTAAAGTTGAACTAGGTGCTAGAGACCTTGCATGGAGGAGCTCACTAAAGCAAAGTTGTAGTGTTTGACATAAGGAACAACTTTTATTTTTGGGACATTGACTGATTTAGCTTCTAACATGCTTGAATGGGTCCCACAAAAACCAGCAAAATCAAGCTTTCAACACTTAACGAATTTTCTAAGTCTTTGATTGACTGACAGACTGACAGGCCTATGTTGGGGGTGATTTTTCTCAGTCTCGGTTGAGAATTGGAGCATGATCTTTGAACGAAAGTTGTTGCTGGTACCTTAGACTTCAACCTTGATGTACTAAGTTTTCACTGAAAGCCTTTGGTAACGAAGTTGTCATCGTTGCAATACTCGCTGTCAGGCTAATACGCGCGCGACTAACGAACTAAATCAAGCCGTTCGGTGGCCGACCGGCGCCAGAACGCGAACGCCGCGTGTCCGCGGCAATGGCCGCGCGTCGTCGTTGCTCTGTCCGGTCAGGCCACGACGCGCCTGAGCGTGGCTTCAACACTTCAGCGTCCGCCCGCTCCCTCCCGTGCTCACCATTCTCATTTTCCCGGCCCCTTTCCTCACCATAGTGTCAGCCGTGCTTGTCCCGCCTCGCCGTCGCCATTGCAGACGCTCCGCCGAGCTCGCCTGCGCTAGCCACCGCTGCATCCGCCAATTAGTCGCTCTCTCAGCTTCGCCTCAACCTTCCCCATCGTTTCCACCTTGCCTCGCCCGAGATCGTGCCTTAGGTGAGCCGCTGCTCGCTTTGCGCCGCCGCGGGAACACTCTCGCCGGAGTGCCGCCATGGCCGTTGCCGTGGCCGTACTTCGTCGGAGCGCCTCAAGCCTCCTAGGTCATGTAGTTCGGTTCGCATGGTCGCCGTGGTCCTGTTGCTCGCCTTGCTTGGCCTCGCTGTGGCCGGAGACGGCCGGCACACGCCGTGCAGCACCGTCGTGCCGCCATGGCCGATGCCGTCGTCCTTCGTGCCGATGATTCGCCCGCCTAGATAGCCCAATGTGTGCGCAAGGTCTAGAGGGTCACCGTAGACTAGGTGCCGTCGCTGGTAAAGCTCGCCGCCGGCGAACTTGGCCGCGCAGTGACGAAGCAGCGCCGCCTACCCTGTTTCGAGTCGATGACGTGTGGGGTCACCTGACCAGCGGGTCCCACCGGTCAGCGACAGCAGTGTTGGCTAGTTCAAAAATTCCAGATTCAAGTGTGATTTGTGATTTTTGTATCTTCAGTTTGGTAGCTCCTAAATTTGTGAAATAAATTTTTTAGTGTTCATTAGGAAGTTTAGTATTTATTAAAAATATTACCTTGGCACTTACAGTACAAATTTTTCGAGAATTAAATAGAGATTTGAAATGTGCTTTTGAATGCATTTAAATTTGTTTATTTTATATCTAGAGTTCCTGTGCTCCAAAATTTATGAAATTTTTGTGGTAAGCTAGTCTTAGCATATATGAACACTGGTAAAAATTTGAGGACCAGTGCATGAGTAGATTTATAGTTATAGATTTTTCTTTTATGAATAGTCAATCCTTGCATGAATTTTTATAAATTATTTATGAGTCCAAAATTCATGAAATTTGTTGGAGGTAATCCTAGTACCATATGGATGTTAATAAAAATAGGAAATCTGTTGCTTGACACTTTTCAATAGGATTATCTATTTATGCTATTTCAAGCCTTGCTTCCTTGTCATTTTTGTATAGAATGTTCTACTTAGTAAAATGACATGAAATTTTTATAGTAGTCCTTTGATAGCATTAGTAAGGCACTATAAATTTTTGAGAATTTATTAAGTACATCTGATATATATTTATTATTTAACCTAGATATATAAATAAAATAATAAAGGAAATTAAATAAATAGTTTGGGCTTCACCCTTATATTATCTTAAATGTATTTGGTATGCTTAAACTATTGGTAGATTCTATGTTGTCAAATTTTGAATGATTACATGAAGTAGAAGTATCGTTACTTTATATTGCATGTTGAATAGTTTCCAGATAGATTCTGTAGTTTGATGAGTTGCATGTGGAAAATGATGTGTACTGTAAAAATGGTTAATAACAAAGTTGTAGAGAATTTGATAAGCTTTCTAGAAAGTCCAGGATCACTGTATTTGGATTAGCAGAACCCCAGTTATGAGCAAAACAAATTGCTATTGTTTTGTGGCATAGTCAATGCATTGTAGAAGTAGTTAATTAATAATCGAGAAGAGATATGCACCTACTCAATAAACATGATGCACTTGTTAACATATATGCATTCGTAATACTTACGCCATATTCATGCATCTAGGATCGGAGGAAGAGATCACGTTGCTGGAATTCGAAGAAGCAGAGGAAGGGAACCAGCAGGAGGATCCGCAAGCCGCAGCTCCCGAAGGCGTGGAGCAGAACCCTGAAGAGCTTCCGGAGTGCCCTGACCACCGCCCTACTTCCTTCCTGCGAGGCAAGCCCCGGAGCATTATAAGTCTCCTAGTAATTTACAAATATTTACTTACGTACTTATGATTGATGCATTAGGTTATAAGAGTTGAATGAAACCACTTGATGCATGTAAATGCCTTGTCCAGATATTAACCCTTTAACCGGTATAGGTCCAGGATCGAATATATGCTTAGCCATGCTTAGACCGGTAGAAGTCGGGTGATGTCCTGTCACCTGCGAGATGTAGGTGGATACCGGAGCACGGTTGGCTATATCTGCTATCGTGGAACAGAACCATGAGGTAAAAGTAAATCGAGACCGGACGGGAAGTCGATAGAGAAGCAACAAGACATGGAGGTCTTGGTTGTGGATTTATCCCCGTCTGTGTCGATTAAGGACCGTACCGTTGTTGGCACTTTTGACAAGATTGAACGCATGCCTCTCACTTAGCTAGCCGGATAACTCGTTCCGACCGCGAAGCCGAGTAATTCAACTCAGGCCGGGAACCGTTCTGTTGTGCGCTCCTTCCGGGGAACGATCAGACTGAGCCCAAGGGCAGGCTTGGCCTGAGCATCCTGGCATCTGGTGTTCCAGATTGTGCGGCATGGTACGGACCCGCGAAATGTGTACCTGAGTTGTACCAAAGGTGACCTAAGGCTATCGTGGCTGGTAGACCTGGGTTTGTGTTAGGAATAAATTCACAGCTGGTTGAAATCGATTCGAATCGTCGTCTCTCCCGGATAGTGAGAAACTTGGCTAGTCCCAACATCGTAGCAACTATGTTATGAAACATGATGGTTCGGATGAATATGGAAATTACAATACCTGCTATGGTTACTATTGTATGCTTCTAAATGATATACCACATGTTTGGCACAGGATAGTTGCTAATCTAGAAATGGATAGTTATAATTAACCTGATAAAGAAATTGTAACTGTACCATGACTCAATTGCTTTTACGCAAAAATGTTGTCGAGTTACGTCCACTTATACAGCCTTGCATAATCCTTGGAGTCATTTTCTTTTTGGTTCATGACGGGTAAGTCTAGCTGAGTACTTTCTTGTACTCAGGGTTATTTTTCCCATTGTTGCAGATGGCACTGTGTATCATGGTTATTGTAAGAATTGCTTCTATCCCGCTGTGGATGAGGAGTAAGCCTTGGGTAGGCTTCTTTAGTAATTCCTATCTTTGGTTTTGAGGACAGTGATCTGGCTTGGCACTGTATCAAACTATGTTGGAAACTTTATCTTCGAACTTATTTGCTTTCGCTTTATTTATCAAACTCGGTTTGTAATAACTTTTATTCGTACTCTGATGATGAAAAGTATCTGTGAACTTTATGTAATATGTGGCATGTATGTTGATTCCTATACGATCTTGGTTGTTGTAAATCGTTTATCGAGGCCCGTCGCGGTACTCGACGAACTACCGGGTTTATATGGGTTCAAATATGATAGTGCGACCGCTTACGGATTGCCATTGTACTTGTATTCTTATAAATTGGTCGGTTCTACGACAGCTGGTATCAGAGCAAGATTCAACGTTATTTGTCACAAGTGTATTTAAAACAAAAGTTTTTGTTTTCCAAAAACCCTTCTCTAGCAACTAATAGTGATATAATAGGTATTTGAAATCTAAAGTGTGCCAATGATCACTTTTCTTATACCCAAATTAAGGACTATTAGGTGGCTAATTAAGTACTAACATGGGGGTTTTTACTTCGTCGTCCATACGGCGTGCTATTGTATGGATGCCATTCACTTGAGTGGTAATGTATGGATCAAATGCCTCTACGCCAAGGTAAGATGATGAGTGTATGACCACAAGATGTGAGCGTGCGGTCGGGGAGAGTAGCTTTGGTACGGCTATGTATGCATGCTTGCATGTGTATATGGTACGTATTTAATTGTGGGT